TCCTCCTCCTCCTCCTCCTCCTCCTCCTCCCTCGTCGGCCTCCTCCTCCCTCGTCGGCCTCCTCGCCGCTCAGCGCTGCAGCACGAGTCTGCGTCCGCACGGCTCGCGGGGCCGCGAGCGCGGGAGGGGAGAGGGCATCGAGAGGAGGGGGGAGGGCGTACAGTCGGGGCATTGACCTAAGGAATCCTAGATGAGGAACGAGGCCACTTTTTTCCAAAGTTGAATTTCGAATCCCCATCGAAAACCTAAGGCGAACTGTAAAACAACTAAGGAACATGAGGCGCGTTCGGCGCCTCCTGCCGCACCCTCACGCTCAGATTCTACCTGCACTGTACTATACTACTGAGTCTCCCTGCAACCTCCCGGAGAGCAGGTTTCCAAATTCTTCCCCCCGCTCTGGGGGGGGGGGCCCACGGGGTCTGCACCATCTTCGGATGTGTGCTAGTGCGCTGCTGAGGGGCGGGGGCAGCGAAAGGAGGGTGAGGGCGTATGTGCGCTCGCAGCGGCCTGGTGGCGACACCCGGACACAAAGAAATGCGGCCAACCTTACAGGGCAGAAGGACCACCCTCATAATAAGCACCCCGACAAAGGAAGCCGTTCAGCAAACGCAGGAAAGAAAAGAATCGAGCAGGGCAGGGCTGCTTTGTGAACGCCACAGGCCATCTAGGAAACGCCAACGATGGGGGTCGTGGTGGCTCTTCCTCCCATAAAATACCCCCCCCCGGATAAATCGCGCGAACACCTCGAGCATCGTTGCCCCGGGTCTTCCCGAATCATCCGGTGTCGCGGTTTTGCTCCGTACGGGGACCCCGGAAATCCCAACCCTGTCCCCAGGGCTGGTGTCCATCCCGAACCGTCATTTGACGGCCCCGCGGCCTTGCGAAAGCCCCTAGATATCGAAACCGACAAACCAACGTTTTCATGTGCTCAATACGTTGGGTATATGGGTTCTCGTCGTGTTCCGACTCCGCCTTCGGCCGCCCACTTGCGCCCGGCGCGACCAGGCGCGACCAGGGCGCGCGCGCTGTCGCGCGCGCGCGAGGCCGGGCATAGGGCGGGCAGGCCCGCCGCCTTCAGCCACGCTTCCAGGGCGGCGGCGTCAGGGACGTCCTCGGGACCCAGGGGAGCCGGAAATTGGGGAAAGGCGGAGAATGCTTTTTTCCAGCGCATATCTTGGACAGGGGAAGAAGAGGCGAAGGGGGAAGGCACGACGATCACCCTGCTGATCAACTCCTCAATCTGTCAACCGTGGGTTTCAGGAGCACACCCTGGGGGGCGGAAGGCGACGATGATGCGCGGGCACAGGCGGGACGGCGTCTGGGCGCGTGGGTGTGGGCGGGTTGCCGCGTGGGTGGGCGGGCGGAAAGCGGCGGCGGCGGGCGGGGAGTGCGGGTGCGTGGGCGGGTTGCCGCGCGGGGGGGGCGGGCGAGCGGAGGGCAGCGACGGCGGAGGGGGAACGGGTGAGGAGCGGGAGCATGGGCGGCAAGAGAAGGGGCAGAGGAAGGCGAAGAGGGCGACGACGAGCATGACGGGAACGACGAAGACGGGAACGAAGAATAGGACAAGGACGAGGACGAGGACGAGGACGACGAGGAGGACGAGGAAGATGACGAAAAGAAGGATGACGACGAGGACGAGGAGAACGCACACTGACAGGGCATCATGGCGCCGTAGTAAGGAGACAGCGGCTTGCCGCACAAACTTGCGACCCGTATCGCAGAATGCGGAGCATGTCGCGCGACGGACACGGAGGAAAAAGACGACGACGACGACGACGACGACGACGACGACAAAGACGACAAAGACGACAAAGACGACAAAAACGACGACGACGACGCCGACGACGACGATTCGAAGAGCGAAACGAAGGGTCGGTTCGATCGCCCGCGAAGGCGCGAATCATGCAACTGCTGCCGGGGGGGAGCACGGCCCCGCACGAAAACGATCACGAGAACGAGGACGTCGAGGACGAGGAGGACATGGAGGACATGCAGGAGGACGATGAGGGCCAACGGCAGGAGGGCGATCTTGCCCATGTGCTCACGCGCGCCGTCCTCGAGTGCCCTGCCCCCCCTTGCATACCCATTCACAGTGGAAGCCCCCCCACAATGATTACCGCCCTAATCACGATGCCCCGCGTCGAGCACGGGGCGAGCTGCGCGATCTGCATCGTCGGCAGCAGCAAGGACTCGCGCACCCCCAGCACGCCGTCGCGACATCCCCCTCCTCGTCGGCCGCGCCGCGGTCGGCTGCGCCGCCCCCGCGGCCGCCCCGCCGGGCGCGAGGCGTTTGCGCAGCCCCCTCCTCTTCCGCGGCGCTGCGGGCCACCCCTCCGCGAAGACAATCTACTTCTTGAGATCCTCGACGGGCTTGGAGCCGCTACCGCCAGCCATCGACGGCGCCCATCATGCCGCCTTATTCCGGACGCATCCCCTTGGCGCGCCACGCTCGCGCGAGGCGTCGCACAGCTTCTGTGCGTTTCTGGAATGCCGCGCCGCAGTTGGCGCGCGCGATAGCCTGCGACGCGCCCCTGCCACCGAGGCCCCCCCGCTGGCCACGGGGCACATGCGACGCGCGCGCTGACGGCGTCTCGAACGCCCCACCACCACCACCACCACCACCACCACCACCACCACCACCACCACCACCACCACCACCACCGCCAAGCTCACAGACGTCCCCCCCCCCCCCCCCCCCCCCCCGACAGCCCGACGGGGCGGCGCCAGCGCGAGAGCGAGGCGGTCGCCAGGTGGCAGCGGCGAAGGCGGCCCTGAAGCGTCGCCGGTCAGAATACAAAAAAAGGCAAGGCACAACATGATGCCACAGATGCTCTTCGATCGAAGCACTCCAGGCCACAGCGAACGCCTCAGCCAGAATGGGGGCCCACCCCAGCATGCAAATCCCCATCGCACTGCACGGCCCAACGGTGGACGCCAGCGCCACCATTGATGGATCCGTCTAGGCCGAGGGCGGTCGGACACACGCACTCGCCCCCCAGCTCCAACGGCAAGTCACCGAAGAAGACCGACAATAAGCTGTGAGCGCGTTTAGTTGGGTTCTTCACAATACACTACCACGCCATCAGCCTCTGCGCGGTTGCTTCGAGAGCAAGCGGCACAAGTTGCCATCGCCCGCGCGCCTCGCGCGAGTTGGGGGGCCGCATTTCGCTGTCCACATCCGTCGCAGCATCTTCCGCCATAGAGCGCAGCTTCCATTCAAACGATGAGAAAATCGCACGGCGCTCACGCTCGCTCTGGCACAGCCCAACAGCACCACTAGGCTAGGACACGCCACCATGAGGCGCTCAACCCTCCCAGGTGCCCACGAGTACCAGACGGTCTTCGCCATCGCTCAACCGCGGTCGAACGCCTGGGCCCTGGCCTTCATATCGTTCGCCCCGCCGCGCACCACGTCGGGCCCCCCCCACGCACACACACACACACACACACACACACACACACACACACACACACACACACACACACCAGCGTTTCATCTCGCGCGCAGCCCGGCAGCCCGAGTTGATCCGCGCGCCGATCACCTGCTTGGCGAGCCGGCGCGAGCGGAGACCCCAGAACCACGTCTTGGCGCGCGAAAACCACGTCAATCTCCGACGCACGGGCCCCATCCTGCACGATTAGGATGATCTTGAGCACGTCGCCCACGGACGCGCCCATGCCCGCGTCGACCGCCTCGAAGAGCCGAAAAAATGATCGCCGCGCCGCCGGTGCCTCGGCGCCCCACAGAGTTTGCATGATCACGCCCGTCTCCGACGCGTCGCCAATGAATCCTCTCGCCACACTGCGCGCCGCCAGTCGTTGGCCAGCGGCGCCCGACGACGGCGAAAAGTTATCGCCTGGAACGCGCGGTCGTCGAGGCGAACGCGACGTCGCAGTCGGCGAGGTGCTCGGCGCTGGCCAGCTTATCGCGAGCGAACTGATCCAGCTGCACCATCAAGCCGCAGGCGAACGCGTTCGTCGCGGCGAAGCTCCTGCGCGGCTTCGGCCGGCCCCCGCGCACCCCCTTTCACGCTCGGGCGCCATCAGCAGCTGCTCTCGGCGCCCCGCCCCCCAGCAGGCCAGCGCCCGCGGAGCGGCGCAGAAAGAGCCCCCCATTAGAAGCCACCCCCTCGCGAATGCCCGCCACCGCGGGCACGCGGCGCAGAGGAGACGCCCCCCGCCAGGCCCCAGCACCCCGCACTCCTCGTCAGGAGCGAACCCCGCACGACAAGGACGCCTGGATAAACGGCGCCGGGGCGCGGCGGACGCGGGCGGTCAGGCGGAACAGCCCGTGCGCCGCTTCGCCGCACCTGCTGAACATGAAGAGCTGGCGACGGTCGCGCGCGCCCGCGGCCCTCGGCCGCCTGCGCCGCCGAGCCCCAGGTCGGGGCCCTGGCCCAGCAGACGGCTTCCTGCATTCACTCGGCATGGTGGTCCACGTCGGCTTCACGAGCATCTTGGATACTTTCACTGGCGCTGACCACATCGGCGCATATCTACACAATTAGTTCCTGCACAGGGCCTTGCGCAAGCGGGGGAAGTCCGCCTGTGCCAGCTGGCGCACGTCGCCACCCACGTCGCAGCTATCGGGACGCGCGCAGTCATCGACGTTGGCGGCGACGTCAGCGCACCTAAATACCGATCTGGGACCCCCCGCAAGGCCAACCTCCAAGGGCGGGAGCGCAAGGTGCCGGCACAGTTCCTCCGCGGAGGCGAGTACGAGGGGGCGGCGGTGGCCCCCCGTCCTGGGCGCAGATCCCCGCGCCACCAAACTGGCGCGACAAGCGAGGCGCGGCCACCATGTCACGGCGCCTGCATGCCACCGTCAGTTCCATCTCAGCATGCGCGCCCCGCTCCTCGAGAGCGCAGCGCGCGTCGCTCTTGAGCGCCTTGGTTGGAGGACGAAAGAGGGGTTCTGCAACAAGGGGTCCCCACTGGGGGCTGAATGGCCCATGCATTCTCAATGTATCGCTCCTGTATGCGATCGGGTATGATTGGCATGCAATGTTGGTTGGCGGTCATGGAGGGCCAGTCGCTCGTGCCCGCGCGTTGCCCGCGCGGGCAAACGCGCCGTCGATCCATGATCGTTCATGCGTGCGGGCGTTATTGCATATCGCGCGTCGGGCGGTGAAGTGGAGTGCAAGTGTCTTGAATGTGCGATTGCTGATCACGTATGTTCCCATGCGATGACTTGTCGACCCTCAAGACAGACTTGGAATGGGTCCCGCGCTTCTCCCGAAATGCGAATTCACATTCCCTTTTTCCCGAAAGTTTAATTAACGTTTCCCTTCTTTCCCAAAATGTGAATTCACATGTTGGCCCCATCATGCGGATTCGCACACAAACTTCCAAAATGTGAGAATTCATATTTTCTCTTCTTCCAAAATGTGAATTCACATTTTCCTTTTCTTCCGGAAAGGTGAATTCACATTTTTGCTTTGCCCCACAATGTGAATGCACAGTTTACCCTGGCCCTCAAGACCCCCAAAACTGAGGCGCAGCATCCCGCGTGTCAGATTGGCTAGGCAGATGTTGACACTCACCTCACCGCTCTCGTTGATTCCAAACTCTTATTTGCGCGCCCTCAGCGCACGTTGCCTTCATCGCATTTCCCGAGCCCCCCGCCCCCTTGCTTCGCTCACCTTCCAGACTCGCGCACGCGCGCAGGCGGGGATTTTAAAGTGGACCCCCCCGCCGAACACAGCAATCGAGGATGCATCGCCCACGCATGGCCCATAGAGACACCGTTGCCGGGGCCCTGCGCCCGACCCCCACTTTCATCCTCAAACTTGGCGTACACCTTGAAAGCCGTGTCTGACCATCGTCACGGGAAGGGCCTCGTGGCCCGCGGTGCCTTCGCGGCTCGACTATCTCGTAGGACGGGCGGTACGTCCCCAGCAGCTCCAGGACGTCCGCCAAGCCAGCCTCGCGGCCTTCTCCCACGAGCGCGGCCACGCTCAACTTCGCAGGGCCCCACCCCCCAACGCGAGGGGCGCAGCTCGTCGGCGGGGTCAGCTTCATATTCCTTACCACGGGGATGTGGTCCAGCAAAGTGCACGCTGGCCCCCCCTCTCCCGCACTGCGCCGCCACGCCATAGCCCGCGAAACAACGGGGTCCTGCGCCCGAAGGGGCGCGCAAACATTGTGCCATGCCCTGGCTGCTGAAGCCCTCGAACGCGCGGCCGGTCTGGGAGCGGGCACTGACCGCCACGAGGCCGACCAGCTCCATCCAGTCGCGCACTGCTGCGCCGACCATCTTCTCCGCCTCAGCACTGAAGGACCCCGCCACATCTGAGCCAGGTCGACCACGCAGCCCCGAGTTCAAATCCACACATGCTATAGGCGTGTACCTTTGGGGGGTATTGAGGCACTTCGCTTTGGCCCAATGGAGTGGCTGCGCGCAGATGTCAAAATAGACGCGCGCGCGCTGCCCTCCTAGCTCGGCCCGGGTTGAAGTACAACACCATGAGCGCCATCATCAAGGGCCCTGGGCATAAGTGAACCAGCCCCCCAACACGACCACGTAAAGCAGCAGGCGGTGCGATGATACGCGTGACATCTTCCTTCCGAACCAAATGTTGTTGATCATGATGGCGCAGACGCAGGCTTCGTGACCGGCCTGATCCGTGCCCAGCCAAACTGCACGACGTGGCGGCACGCCGCGTTCGCGGCGCGGCGTCCCCAGCTCATCCTCGACCACCAGCGCAAGGCAGTTAAGGGGCCGGGCCCCCCGGCTGCGCAGCACCGCGCTCATTCTGCACTAGGAGGGGACCGAACAATGCCATAAACATAAAACCAGAGGTCCGCGCGGATTTCTCGGATCGGCGCCAGGGCCCCCCGGCGGCGCCCCCAGCGCCGCTCCTGGCGCGCCCAACGCGCCAGCGAGGGGGGCCCAACGCCGACCAGGGAAATCCGCGCGGTCCTCCGAGTTTGTATGTTTATGTGATTTTTCGTTCCCCTACGCGCGCCGACACGAGCGCACGGGGGCGCCAAGTGCCGACGCTGTCCCCTCTGCCCCTCTGCCCCAAGGCTCTACTTGGATGGCAGGTGATTGGTTGTCCTTTGCAGCGGGAGTGCTGGTAGGTACTTGACGTCGGGTCGCAGCTGCGGGATGCGGAAGTGTGCGTGTGCTGCTCCCCTGCATCGTGTTCCTGCTGTGCGATCTTGTCCTCGTAGTCGATATTGTCCTTTGGCTGTTCTGCTGTGTCTTCTTTGACGGTCGGCAGGGTAGGTGGGGCCTTGAATATCACTGGCTTCGTTCCTGAGTTGGGCCCAATTTGAGGGGGGGCTTGGTGAGCTGGGTTGGAAGGAGGAGGAGGAGGAGGAGGAGGACAAGGAGGAGGAGGAGGAGGAGGAGAAGGCGGAGGAGGAGGAGGAGGACGACGACGGCGAGGATACAGGAACGAACCACTGCATACGATTTTCAGGATCGGCGGTGGAACCCCCTCTTCTCCTGGTGCGCGGAGCGCGCCAAGGGCGGGGCGCTGGAGGCGCCACCGA